GGGCCGCTCCCGCCCGGCCCCGCCTCTGCCCGCCCCCGGCACACCCAACCCGGGACACGACAAGGAGCGGTGCGGGAAGGGACGAGGAACAGCGGCGTGTGAGGGTTTGTTTTTCATTTTTGAGCAAAGAACGTTATAGACACCAGGCTCTTCAGCCTCTTGTTCAACACTGCTCAAAGGTCTTTTTTTTTATTTCTCCTGATGTCTCGGCAGTGAGTGGCTGGGGGTGGGCAATAAGCRGGGGTGGGACACAGCAGCACCACTTGTGCCGACTGAGCAAAGCATTACTGTACACTGTAATACATGGTTCTCAGAAATAAAGCTTAGAGGAAGGGGGAAAGGGGATCGTTCTRTGTGAGGAAGACCATTTTTTCTAGAAATGGCTAAACACCTCCCTATTGATGGAGAAGTAGGGTATGAATTCTTTATTTTACTTGTCTTGTGGACTCATCTTTTTTGTTTTTCATGTGTTGAAGTGGAAGATCTCTCCAAGTTAAAAAGGCTGCCAGAGTTTGCCCTGTTTACCCTGGAGAAACAGAATCTGGTTGAGGTTGTCATAAATGTACAGAATCACAAGGACGTGGCCAGACTCTTCTCAATGATGCCCATTGGCAGGGCAATAGTCAGCAAGCACAAACAAAAATTCTCAAGAAGTTTTCACTGAACATCAGAGAGAAACATTTTTTCACAGTGTGAGGGTAACCAACTGCTGGCACAGGTTGCCCAGACCACATTCTGGAGTCTCCATGCTTGGAAATATTCACAAACTGGTGATGGTACTGCCGAAGTGAAGCCTGTGGAGAACCCAGGCTGGAGGGGGTTAATTCTGAAGGACAGCAGCACTTGTGAAGGAACAATGGTGGAGCCACTTGACTGCAGACTGAGGTAGGGAGCAGGAACAGCAGAGATGAAGATCAGTGATTGAGTGTTAAGAAATTACCCCAGGCCTGATTCCCTGTTGTCCCTTGTTCATTGGGGTGAACATGTAGAAAATTCAGGAATGCAGCACTGAGGTTGAGCCTGGGAAAAAATCGGGATGATGTGGCRACARGGCATTTTCTAGTTGCTCACAATTMTACTCTTAATCAAACTGGCAAKAAATCAGAATCYYTGCAGTGTGCAGTAAATGYCAGGAACAGSTGTGGTGCCCAGTGATGGCACCTGACTTCTTGGGAACAACCTTGAGACCCATCGGCTCCTGGCCCCTGGCCACTCTCACCTTCCTGACATCGAAGTCAACCTCTGCCAGGCCCCGGAAGGTTTGTGTTAAAGCCCATTTMCATTTCCTGCCCCCGTGTGATGGCACAGAAGTAGCGGGCAGAATCCTGAAGTTGCAGGTGCCGCAATGACAGATAAGCCTCGGACCGGGAATTGTCCCGGGAAAYTGTGGCTCGATCCTTCACTGCTGGCCCGTAGTCCCGTGTAGTGCCCTCAGGGGAGCTGATAAGGGATATCCACTCCAGCCGGCCTCCGGGTGACTGACGGTACCAGTAAATATAATAATTC